GAATGTTGGTACTTTTATTTGTGAAAATAGGCTACTACACCTTTCTATCTGTTGTGCACTACTTTCTACCTGTTGTGTAAATTACAGTGGGGCCGCGGCATATATATATATATATATATATATATATATATATATATATATATATATATATATATATATATGGATATATATATGTATATATATATATAAATTTTTTGCGAACATGATAAGATGACGTTAAAATAGTCAATTAAAAATCTATATAAAATTGTCCACATATAGAACAGAAAACCTTGTCTGTTACACATTAACAGCAAAAGAATTTTGCCAACGTCAAAAGAATAAAAAAAAAAAAAAAAAAAGGAAAAAGATGTCAGGAAGAGAGAAGGGATATCCCATTCTTTCCCACTGCATTTACAGTGTTTTTTCGAAGGAGGGAGAAACGGATACCTGAAAAAAGTATAACAAAATATAAGGCACCTGCATTTATTTGTGGTTTGCTTTTACTTCTTTTTCGTAAGTTAAGCGTTTTCATTATTCGCATCATGCAAAATATGCTTTTCCTTTTAAAATTTCTACAATGATATATATGATATTTTCTGTCTACCTGGGGTAGTTTCATTATCTTTATACTTCCCGGCAAAAGAAATATACTTTGTACTCGTATTCCTCGACAAGCTAACACGGCCCCTGAAAATAAAACATTCCTCTTAATATGGAAAAAAATGCTATGATTAAAAATAAGGTACACTTTACAGAATTATAGGAGCACGATCCATAAGATAAACAGTATTGACAACAGAAAAAGAATTAAGTTAGTATCCTACGCCGCACGCCGCGGAAGATAGCCGAAAAGTTGGTGTTTTTAACTTGAGAAACGCGCGTCAGTGGGGATTTAATGAGCAATTCTTCAATGAAAATGGTGGAGAAGAACCTGACAAATATAACTGAGGATGAGGCTGCTCTCTACGACAGACAAATCCGGCTGTGGGGACTCGATGCCCAGAAGAGGTGAGTGTGGGTGGAGAGTTTGATGAAGAAACGTTGCTTTCATTTTTTGGTTTTCTGTAGTTGGCGCTGGGTGTGATTTTTCATTACAGATTGAAATAAATGGTGTAGCATTTGATTTTACGTTTGATTGCATGTCAAGGAGTCTAGTTAGTTGTTTTCTTTTTAATATGATGGACATTTCCCTTGTTAGCGCTTAAGGACTGGGAGGTTTGTCATTTTGGTAAAATTACCGCGGATAACAATCAGGGTTTGGCGTCTCGGAAAAATCATTAAAAAAAACAACATAAAGTAAAGTAAGAAAATCTATAAAGCTGAGACACTTTTCATCTATGGCAAAAGGTGCTCAAATTGAAAATAAAGGAGTTACACGGTAGAGAAGAGAGAAGACTGACCCATCTTTTTCTAAGTCCCTCGCCATGTTGACATGGTGAATGTAAACAAAATTGTGACCAGTCAACTCATTCTTGCCCTCTGTTAAGTAGTTCATGTATTACTACGCCGTTGTCAAAACGATATTTGGCTAATTATCAGTCTCTGAAGTTCCACATATATGTTTTCAAAGGCCTTTGTTAACGTTGTTATACCTCTTTTTCATGTTTCAAGATTTATTAGACAGATTTAAGGAAATCGGTCTGAAGCACCTTCTGCGCAGGCGCATTTTTGCGTTTCCGCCGCCAGGTTTGACAGGACGATTCCCAGGGCAGTCCGGTGACAGGAGACCGACGAGAAATGTTTCGGTTTTGGTCTTACATCGATTCTAGGTTGTTCTTAAGACTATATAGTGGAAACGAAGAAGAAAAAGACCTTAATAACTATCGCAGTTCGATTTCTGAGGCCATCAAGTACCGCAAATCCCGAAAAAAGCGATAAAAACGAAGCGATCTATGATCCACAATAGCCCGACCGAATGAAGCGAAGGAAAATTGACAGTTCGGGCTTTCGATGTATATAGGTATTTGGTTTATTGTTTACAGTATGGATGTAGCTCTATCTTGACGTACATACCGAGGTGAAGAGAATGTGTCCCGGGGGGTGTTGGGGGGCTTGCCCCCATCAACCCTCCCCTCGGGCAGTGCCCGAAGGGCACGCCTAGTCACAGCACCATAAATTGTTAGGTTAGGTTGGGTTATGGGTTAGGACGTTTTTTTGGGTCTGGAAGGTGTGAAATCCTGCAGATTTTGCCGAAATGTGGGTTGGATTCCCGTAGAGTTTTTTTAACTGGCGTGTCGGTTTGTAAACTTTCAAAGGTGGCGGACATGTCCGTAGAGTTTCATTAGCCGATTTTTAGTGTTTTTAGTGCTCGTTTTACACATATCTGTTCGCTTTTATTCTTATTTAAGCCTGTTTTACCCCATAATTTCCCTGATATACTTCATGCCCTCCCCTGCTAACGGGACTTAGTACATCAAGATCGTCGGCTGTGATTGCAATGGAAATGATCATCAGATTCATTCTCATCACATGAGAATAAATCTGATGATATAAATATTGTCTGGGAAGTCCCGATTGTCATAATAAAAAAAATTAACAGTCATTTTTTAATGAGTTCAGACTAAATCCCCAGTCTTACCAATAAAAACGGGGTAATTCTTTACAGTATAGAGGCTCTCGCCAAAGACGAAGTCCCCAACAATCTTGGGGGACACACGGGAATCGGGGATTTTTTTTTGGGGGGGGGGATAAAGAGTGGGCTCAGCTTGATTTCAGTGTCAGTAAATGACCGAAATTAATTATGAATGCAATGAAATGCGACTTTTTGAAAATGCGAGACAAACTTTCTATTTATGAATGTCATGGAAATGTGACTTTTTGGAAATGCGAGCCAAAGTTTACATTTTCTTAAATCAAAGAAATATGACTTCGGAAATGTGAATGTCTGATTATACCATCATATTTGAATATTAGAAAGCACAAGTGCACACAGGAACCAACACAAAATTTACTCAACTGTCCAAGTTGCCATGACTGGGCGTGCCCTTTAGGCACTGCCCGAGGGGAGGGTTGATGGGGGGCTCTACCCTCCAACACCCCCCAGGAAACATTCTCTTTACCTCAGTATGCACAGCATGATAGAGCTGAAACAGTTCAGAATATTACACTACACTTTTCACACATTTTTTCATTTAGGATGATTCCGTGAACCTGTAAAAAATTTATGATCTCTTCAATTTTTCTATTAGATAAAAAAAAAAAAAAAAGTCAAGCACACCACCATAACACAAATGACACATGTCGGTCATTGTCACTGAGAAGAATGAGGCAGGTCACTGGTGTAGTTCAGAAATGTGCGTGTTATTTGCATACTCGAAATGTGTTAAGTATCGACTATATAGTTTGGCAATTAAGAATATTAATCAGTTAGCCAAAATTGAGGATCAAAATACACATTTTAAAATAAAAACGACTGAGACATAAATATATATAAAAAGTTAGTCGATAGTTCTGTACATTTTTATGATATAGCATATGGAATATTATACTTGAACTTTAATGAGCAATTAAAAATCTCTGCTAAACTGCCACCTCCTGATTGGTCATGAAGTAGTGGTAACATAGGTGCGCAGTAGGATAGAAGATAGTGTGCAAGCTGTGGGGCAACTTAATCTTCCACACCGAGTAAGTGGAATTAGCCGCTGGAGCACTGAGTGGACTTGGGCTGTGAGCAACGCTTTCTGTGACCTTTTTCCTTTATTTGTGGCGTTACCATTCAGATCATTTCTTGTACCAACCACTATTACTTTTTTCCTCTACAAGAATATCATCTTCAATTTGCCCTAACTTAGTGCGTCCATACCATAAAGATTAACCAAAAAAGGTAAACTAATTTCCAAAATAGAACCACATTAGGCAATTGCTGAAGTCTTCAGATTTTGCACTGTGGTAAAGGCCAGGAAACCTCAGAGCTTGGATCTCATTGATGCTAGTACCAATGAATTCCTCTCACCTTCTACTACTCCATATATGTATTTTTTTTTTCTTTCTTTCTTTTTTCCTCTCTCTCTCTCTCTCTCCATAACACCCCCCTCCCCCCCCCATACTCCACAAGCTTTGCCTCATTAATAGGAGAGGGTGCAAAGGGTAGCAGAGAAATGGCTGGGCAAAATTGGGAGAAACATTTTCTGTATATACAAGCTTGTTATGAGCTACCACTCCTTAACCCCTCCCCTGGAATACAAAGAATCCTTCATGTATTCATAGCAGGATGGAGTGTATGACCAACATGCAAGGTGTCATGCAAAGGAAAATGAGTTTTGTACAACCTCTAGTGTCTAATAGAGGGGGCTGGCAGCTCCAACCCCTGTCCTGGAACACACACAATCCTCTACATACAGCAGAATCAAGCGTATAATTGAAGTGGAGGGAATCACTGCAGGATAAAGCCTAGGACAAATAATACACTAACTTGTTGTATCCAATGGTGGAGATGGGGAATTGCAGGGAGAGCAGCCCCCTGCAATAGACGATTTTGGGTTTAGAACATGATGGGAATATATTCTCAATACTTATGGGAGCCAAGAGTGAGGCACCCTCCAGAGACAAGCATATCATGCGAACCCAAAATAGGCCCCAGCAACTGTACCTTTGTTGTTTATGAGTATTTCTTATGCTCTATAAGATGGGAATATCCATTTCCCTCTATCTTTGTGTGTTGCTCTAGGTAACATTAACTAGAATCCCAAACATGGTGACACAGTAGTTGTCCTATGCTCTTTCTGCCATAAATTCTAGGGGGATTCGTTATTTTCTAGGGCAGGGTTTAGGGGGGGCAGTATCACAGCTTTTATTTATTTGATGGCCTAATTTGGATATATATTAAAATTTACCCCAAAATTTCCCTAGAAACCTTCATGCACTCCTCTGTTATGAATGGCAAATTTTTAGGTTATGTGGGGCTTCTGCAGCAAAACTACGTATATAAGTTGTAAAGGGTGAAAAGAACCCATTGGTACTCATATTGTCATGATCAGCCGGCTAGAACTGGTTCCGTATTTGATGATGAATCATTAGAGAGAAGTCCACAAAATCTGTTCTTACCAAAATACATGTGGAAATTTGTTTGCCTTTGCTGCAGCCATCACAAATGGATTTAAGTTCATTTAGTGTAGTTGACAGTCAGTGTCATTGCTCTATCATTAAGGCAGTAGGCGATTTATTTTTCTGGTGTGCACTGATCAGAGCATCTGATGCAATTTAAATTTTTGGAAATACTTTAAGTTGTCTTAAAGATCTCAAAAGTATGAAAGTAAAGCACAGTTGTATTTTTTGGGCACATGTTGTACAGTGGTTGTTATTTGAAGGATTAAACATCCTTTTGGCCATTCTTGAAGCTAAGACCACATCCCTTGGAGGCCTCCATGTATTTGATGCTCTCACAACTCGTAGACAGGAAGGGAACCAGGCCAAGCGCTATCATGCCAGAACACCTGAGGTAGCATTTGTTGGCATAAGGATTATATATTTTATTAATGAAACAACCTTTTTATTCTTCTCAATTTTAGACAGTTTCATTTAGAAGAAAAGATTCTAAGAAGCCATCAGTCTATTTAGTTCATGTACTCTTTACCTTAAATTGTATGTTTTTGTCCAAAACTGTAATTTTAGCATTCTTTATATAAGAAAATAGTCTGAATGTATTGCTAGAGATATACAACCTTGTTATAGTTATGCCCTGATATGCTGAGGAATGCATTACAAATAACATTTACTTTTTGAAACTATAGAATATACAATTTTATGTTTGAAATTCAAGGTAATTCTTTCTAAATATGTATTTTTTGTTTTCAAGCTTGATATATAATAATCCTTGATGATTATAGGTATAGAACAGATATATACCACTATTGTGTAGCAGAAATACATATTCAGCCAACAATCTTGATTGATAGTCACGATACCTCATTGGGGTATTTCCCTATCGGGGGCAAGCCTACTGGAGGCTCCGCCCTTGGACCCTTTAAAAAAAAATCTTTCAGAACTGTGGCACCTTTTCTTTTAGTGTCCACCAGTTACTTTCTACGGTGTTTATATGGGCACTGTTGTTGGCATCAACAAAGTTGTATTTATGATTTACCTTCAGATTTGTAAAGCCTTTGGCTTGAAGGCAGTCATACATATTCCAGTAATCACTAACAATAATGGATTGTTGGCCAATATTTTCTTTTATAATTTGCAGTAGTCTGTGTCACGTTTATCAACCTCTACTGCAAAGTATTCATTTGTTTCATGGCACAAATCGCCAAATACCAACTGGCCGTCAGTTACCCACGCTCTGTGGTGTTTCTTTTTAACAAATTTCAATTTGTCTATTACAACAGTTTTCCTAGGTCCACTCCCCCCCCCCTCCATTAGTGTGACACCAATAAATCAAAACATTTCAGCAAAAAGAGTCATGTATTGTCTTAACACTTATGCCAGGGATTTCATTTTTCACAAATTGATATGTAAAGTAATCCCTAAGGTATATGTTGACAAACATTGAATCAGTTTCAATATCCTAGTGTCTATTATGCAGCCACTCTTTTTAATAAATGGATTGTTTGAGATTGCATCTTTTAGTTATTGTTTTTTTTTTTCACTCATGTGAGTTTGACACATGAGCAATATAGCTGGCACGGTTCACTACACTTTTTGCTCTGTAATGTATTGTTTAACCCACTTACGACGGGTGTCCCACATGATGAGACACCCATCTCATCAATATGCATAGTGTATGATGATTGATGTTTAAATATAGACGACATACAAATGTATCCACATGCACCAACAAATGCACACGCTGTTGTCGATTATATTTGTGGATTTAGATAAAAAAATCATATTTTCTTGCTTCGCCTTTTTTACTTTCATTTATATAATCATATGGGTTTGCTTGTCATGCTATTACTATTTCTTCTCTAATGATATACATATCCAAAATATTAAACAAATTCTGATGGTATTAATTGCATTGAAAGCACATCAGATATTTGAACAAGGGCAATGAAGGAAAACTGAAATATATGAAAGAATAATTTTAAGTATATTCATTGTATTGTCTTCATATTAGCACAATAGGTGCCATATTTTGGATAGTTCATATACTGTTTTCACTGCTTTAGAAAAAATAACCTGCCCTGCTCCACACACACACACACACACACAAATAATTTCCTTCCTAAATACTTCTGTTAACCTCAGGTTGCGATCATCACGTGTGTTGGTGGCAGGTGTGTGTGGGATGGGAGCAGAAGTCACCAAGAACCTAGTCCTATCAGGCATCAAGTCCCTGATGCTCCTTGACCACAGAAATTTGACAGATATTGATGTTTGTGCCAACTTCCTTGCTCCACATGATGCTGTTGGTCAAAATGTAAGTAAGTTTTGTATTTTTGGGTTTTTTGTTCAGCTATTTGTTTATATTTTAATCCCCCCCCTCTCTCTCTCCTCTCTCTCTCTCTCTCTCTCTCTCTCTCTCTCTCTCTCTCTCTCTCTTCTCTCTCTCTCTCTCTCTCTCTCTCTCTCTCTCTCTCT